ACAACATATTGATTCCCATTTGAAAACAGGACGGGACGGGAACGAGAATTTCCGAAGTCCCATTTATCCAGAATTATATATAAACTAAACTTTTATATAAATATATAATTAAATACTTTTTAAAATATATTACCAAAACTGATAATTATTATTTATTAATATATTTTATATAAACGAAAGTTTATAAAATATATTACCAAAAATATATGTGATTTTGTGTTTACTATTTAATAGATTAAATTGCTCTTTTAAAAAAGAACTAAAACTTTTAAATTTAAACAATTAAATTAAATTTGATTTTATTTATTTTTGGTTAACTTATAATTTTATATAACAAGCTATTAATTCTTATTAGGATTCATATAGGATTTAATTTGAGTTTTAGTTTTTTATTTTTATAATTGTCAATTTGTTATATATATATTTTTTTTTTGAAAATTATCATCTCATTCTCATCTTGTCTCATTTTATTCCCGTCTCATTCCAAATTTGAATGAAACACATATAAAACAGTTATTTTGATTCTCATATTCTCGTCCTTTCTCATTCCCACAAAATATCGTCCCAAATTCCCATTTGTCACCCCTACATTGAAAGATACAATCTACACAACTATATTAGAAACACCAAATTAAAACTATTTTACTGCTAGATAGATGAAAACACATTAGATGATTAAAATTTTGATAGATTTATCTTTTTCTGCAGATCTTGTAGTGTTTTAGTATATTGCTCTCAATCTATTAAAACCAAAAGATTATAAATTCATTTAATTCATACGAAAAATGTTTTGACTTATGATTGGAATTCAGAATCCACTTAATATTTAAAATGAAGTTGTTAAATGATGATATAATAACAAAATATTAAATAAGTAAAATATTATTTCATGTACGTTTTAATCTAAAAATTATGATATTATATAAAATAATATGCTATTTGTTAAAACGTATGCCAATTTTATGAAATTTATTAAAACTACACACGATTTATAAAATCCACTTATTTACAATTTTAGCAGTATATTGTTTTTTCTCAAATATATTATCAACATATGCTATTTAGTGCATGAACTTGATCTAACAAACTTTTTCTTCTTAGATTCTATCAAACCATATTATCTTTACTCAATTGTGACTCGACCATTAACACATGAAGAATTAAACTAAGTTAGTCAATCGTAGATTTAGGAATTTTAAAGGGCAACATTTTTAGACATGCAAAATATATAGATCAATTCCATTTTTTTAACAAGTAAAAGACACTGGTACGCAATTGTAATCCTAAAACTATTTGTGTTCAGTGACTCATATGAAGATCGGGGAAGTATCATTGGTATTAGCCTATTAGGTATTGGTATTAGCCTATTAGGTATGCAAAATATATTGATAAATTTCATATATTTAATTAGTAATAAACAAACTCCCCCACAACGACAGAGAAAACGACTAAAAATAACAAATGGCAAAAACTTTTTTGTCACCGTGCTACTAATAATTGTCCTTGGTTTATTGTTGCTAGTATTTTTTTTTGTTTTAACATACAAAATACTACCATTGCCATATGTATTTTTAATCTTGAAAGTGGATGTATGTATTTTAATTTGCACAAAAAAGTGGGTGTATTTTTAGTACCATCATGTATTTTGAATAGTCGCTGCCACATGTGTTTTAATCGGACTTCGACTCCGCTTTCTGTTGTTGCTTCAACTGTTTTCACGATAAAGTTGTGTAATTAAATTGTTTTTCTGTTTCTTTTATCTTGAAAAAAACACATGACACTAAATTATTTCAATAAGATAGTTACAACATACGAAAAAAACACATGACACTAAATTATTTCAATAAGATAGTTACAACATACAAGTGACTCATCGAGGCAAAAGTCTCGTGTTTGAGAGGGATGACTAGGACTAGTTGTTTCTTGGCATTGTCACTTTTCTGAGATAATTAATTACATCGACAAAATTAAGTTACCGTATAAATACGATAATTAGCTAATTTTTATTTAACTTTTTCAAGTTTGGACAAATAGCATGCGTCTGACTTAATCTTTTTAAATGACTTTTGAGTTTTGACCAACATTCCAATTAAGCGAACTTTAATATTCAAGACTACATTCTACATATACTGTAAAAGTTTAATATTTTCTGCCACAAAACTATGCAAAAGCTCATCCTAAACATCATCTAAAACACTTTACGTCTATTATAGATCTTGATTCTTCGAGTTCATAACCAATGTCGTAGGAGTTGACCAATTTGATAAATCTGAACCCATAGTTGATCAATTTGACAAGAACAAAAAAAAACTTTTACGTTTTCACTAATGTCTTGGATCGACTTTAAAGAAGACAAAGATTATATATGTACTTAATTTACATCAACCATTACAATGAGAGAGCACACTGTATGAATAATCTGAATAACCCGACAATGTTAAATCTTTTCATCACTGATATTTTTCTTTTTCCTATTTAGATATAGTTTTTTAATTAAAGGGTTTACTACCATTCAGATATAGTTATACTATTTTAGAAACCGGATACTCATAGTACGTCGTCCACGTGATCATACTCGTTATGACTTATGAGGACATTCCTTCAAAGGTGCAGCAAGCCGAAACTTTGGACTAAAAAACTTTAGACATGAATTGATATCGAAAACATATAATTTGTTTCCCGAGATTGAGCTAACTAACTAATAACTACCAGAAAACATAACCCATTGCTTTAATCATGTGGAACATTGCTGTTAAATAGTACTACTACTTCATTCGGGTATAAAAGTTTAATTAATAAGTAGAGATACCCCCAAATAGAAAGTATTCAAAGATAAAAATCAAATATAGTTGTAAAATTATTTATTTTGCTTTGAAAAAAAAGTTATCATAGTGTTTCTTATTTTGTACTTTTCTTAACGTTGGAAATTGCAAAACTCCCATTCATTCATGTAAGTCCAAAGTACAGACATAATGCAAGTTAATTTATTCTTGGGTCCGAAAGCTCCTCAATCTAAGGACAGATGTCTGTGTAGATTATGTTATTTTCTTACTTCATAAAATTAAGGTTTCTTTGACAAATAAGCGTAATGGCGACGTATGAAGACATATAATATGATTTCATATATCCTCGTGTCGACATATCGATGCGTTGCTTTGAGATTTTTGTTCCTGGTTTTTTACTAGGTATGAGCTCAAATTTTCATATTTTCTAATTTCTATATAATAAAGAAACTGTTTATATTTTAAAACTTTCAATATTTTCAAGATATAGTTTGAGAGCGTTTTAACATGTATACAAGCCACAGTTATATAATATTTTTTTCGTATTAATAATTGAGCAAGTTTAAATTGTTATACAAAATACTCTAGTGGCTTTTTAGCAAAAACTAAAATAAAATACTCTAGTGGAACAATCAAATTGACTTCGCTTTTTTGCTTTTGGGTTGATTTTCTTAATTTTGTTTTGATTAGGACAATAACAGAATATCTTTGAAAATGTGAGCCAAAGTATCACTATACGTAATTCCTTTTCTTCCTCCATTCAAGGCCTTGATTAGTGATACTGATATACTACTTTTTGAGATGATTTATCCACGCATTAGTACTTTGGATTTTTTTTTATTCTTAAAAGAATTACTTGATTAGCCTCAGACAACAATAACCTCACTCTCTCAAGTCTCAACTATATGTACAAAGTATACAAATTAATACTGTGATCAGGCCACATGCAAAACATTTTAGATTAGTTAAGTGATTGATTGATGATTATAATTTTACAATATGGGTTATGACTCAAGTACTGGTGTACAGGGCTGTGCCTACCCTTTTGATTTTGAGACTTTCATCTACGGCTCCATTTTTTTAAAAAAATTAGAAAGACTTTAATTATTATTTATAAGTATAATTAATCCCAAACAAGTAAGGTCAAACCCAAAACATTACATTTATCTTTAAACACAAAACAATTATGATAAAATAATTACTAAAAATAAAAAACTAAGAAACTAAAAATAATTAAAGAGATTAGGTTAGGGTTCGTGACAATTTTTTTTTTTTTTTTGCCAACGTCTTTACACTTCATTCAAGAAAAAATCAAGAACCCAATTTATCAAACATCATCAATTCATTGTTAGAGTGAGTTTAATCAATTTTACTTCTTTATTTTTATTTAGTTCTTAATCACTTTTAACATCTGTAACATTATATTCTAAATTTATAAATGCCACCAACTCACAGATCGCTTATCCAGTATTGTTGACGATTCCAGTCTTTGTTGCATCTGCTAAAAGAAGTTTTTCAAAGTTGAAATTGATAAAATCATATCATAACTCGAGTACGTCACAAGAAAGATTGAGTGATTTAGCGATTTTATCAATTAAAAGAGAGCTGGTTAGAAAAGTTGATTTTGAAAGGTTGGTTAATGATTTTATGGGAAAAAATGAAGAAGAAATATGTTTTGAACTATTGTCATGTTTGTTTTCTTTCTTAATTATTATATAATAATATTTGTTTGCTAGATATTTTCAATTAATTTTTATTATTATATATTTTAATATTTTGTATGAATTAATTTTTTTGTATGATTAAAAAAAAACTATTATCGCCTATGGCATGGCACGGCTCTGCTGGTGTACCGTGTAGATACGGTTTTAGAGATGCTTTATTATATTAAAAAACGTTATATAAGGACCATATCTTGTTATTCACACACACGTTGTTACCTACCTAACTTAAGAACAAATCGTTAGAGATGAAAACTTCCCGATTTAACCATAGAAGAAGATACGATCCATTTGTGTCAATGTATATTGGTAAAAAGTACATTGATTCACATGTTATACGACTTCAATCAAATCAATCAGTTTGTCATTTTACTACGAAAGTTACCCAAGTACGCCGTCATAAAATTCGCAATAAAATTACCTACAAACTGTTATAAAGAAGAGCACAGATTGTGATATACAGTGAAAAGTACAAATATGCTCTATCAACAATAAAGGTTCATAATATTTTATCTCAACAAAGGTAAAGAAGAAGCACATCATATATAAAGTGAATAGTTCCAATTCTCACCGGGTAGTTGCAATGTTGAGTTACAAAAAGTAATATTCCAGCATTCATTAAAAGTACAAAAAATAATCTGAACTCCAATTACAAAGAGCTCTCTATAACAACAAAACAACAAAACCCATATAGGCTAAAGATATACACTTGGAAACCTCTCTGCACATTCCCTAGAACTGTGACAATTGTCCATCATATCTCTTGAAAAGAGCAAAACCCATTTTCAGATACGTTTATAATCTCTGATTCGCTTTAGAATGTGACAAGTTTCTTGTTAAGAGTTTACCATATGTAATATTGTACGATAGACTTCAGGCATCAGACCAGAGAATTTTTTTTTTGTTTTGTTTCAGGTAAACAACATCTTGAGTTCATCTATGCGTGCACTTCGTACTTCTTGATCGGTTAATGCCCCAGAGATCATTCTCTGCTTCCTCGCCTGAACAGCTTCCATTCTCTCCTCAACTGTTCCCTAGGTTTCACAAAGGCAAGACAAACATTCCCCCAAGTTTTTAATGATCAATACTCAGCAACAACAACTTTCTGATTTTGGACATAGTTTCAGTGATAGATTTTTATATGGTAAATGACGACTAACGGCTGAGAAAGAGGAAGGTACCTTAATGATGAATCTTCTAATTTTGACTTTCTTAGTCTGTCCTATACGATGGATACGCATAACAGCTTGTTCCTCTACTGCTGGGTTCCACCATGGATCCTATACAACACAATTTGCTTTGCCTTTCAACTGAATCTGATTCAAAACCTATGTTGTATAGTGCAGTGCTCATTTACAAACTTTTGAAACCCAAGGTGGCATGAAATACTACTTAAATTCCATATTTTCATGAGCTATAAGATGGTCTAGATTCTATATGATATGATCTTTAAGGGACATTAATGTCATACCATGACAAAAGCATTGGACGCAGCTGTTAGATTTATACCGACACCACCAGCTTTTAGAGACATCAACAGTACCTATCCAACAGTTTAAGAAGAGAAGTGTTAACTTCAATTTAGAAACTAGAAAGTACAACTTTTGAACATTCAATGTAACGCAACTACACCAACCAGGATACTGTCATCTTCAGTAAACTCTTTAAGGACTTTCTCCCGTTGCTGCTGATTTAGCGTGCCATCAAGACGGACAAATGAAATGTTGTTCCTGTAAAAAAAATATAATTTTATACTTTGCTACAATTTTTTGGCACTTGGAAACCTTTTTTTTCTCGAAACTGCCATAGCAAACCAATATCATCAAGACATGCAAATGGGATACCGTGAGAGGGGAATTTGGAGCAGATCGAGAAAAGCAGTCCATTGGCTAAAGAGAATGCTCTTAGAGCCTGAAGAACGAAGACTTTCAAGCTCTTGCAGAAGAGCAGTGATTTTGGATGATTCTACCCAATTCTTTTCCACGTCCACCTGAAATCTACTTTCGGTTGGTGCTGTGATGAGTTCTTGTTTGCTTACAGTTTTCCTGCAAAATAAAGATTTATCATTATTGGCCAAATTTGAACGAACTCAGACATTTAGTGGAATCAACAGCAAGGACATCAAATGAAAACTAGTACTAGCAGGAAGAACTTCAAGATACCTACACACAGGACATAACCCAGAAGAAGAATTTCGCCAACTTGCTAAGAGACACTCACGACATAATCTATGAGCACATGGTGTTAATACTGCATCCTCAAACGCTTCAAGGCATATTGGACACTCGCCTTGCTCTCCTTTGCGCAGTTCCTCAACCACCTCCTGAACAAAAGCCACTGGTGGTACATCTTTTCCTTCCCTTTCTAGTCCAGAAGACTTTCCACCAAGGAAACGTTTAGCAAGCTTATTCAGATCTGAGTATTCCGCTGTATCACCTCGACTGGATGCATGAAAAACAAGAGACCGTTAATAAAAAAATGTGACAGTTGCGTCAAAAAAATGTCAAAAGGAAATAAGGGCTTGCATGTTTCTTATAACAAATTGCTCATATTCTCTTGGATATTTTATACAAGGTCGTGCAAACAAATTAAACAGATTGAATGGGAAAGTTGTAATTGATATGGAAGCCATGGATGTAAAACCCAACACAGTGTATCTACTTAAATACATAGTAAGGGCATACAGGCCACACCTCATCACTAGAAATGGATGATCACAACATTGTCGAAGACGCAAAAGCAGTTCCAGGATCGAAGCATAATTATGAAGAACTTTGCCTTGTTCAACAAATTGATCAAATTTGACCTGAAAACACCCGTCAGAATCTTCAGTATAAAGGCATCTTAAAAGAAAAGTCTGAGTGAAACACTAAAGAATCCTCAGAACAAACAATACCTTGGATCTTTTATATAGCGCATCGTAGAAATCCCTCTCAGACTCCGAGAGTTCACAGTAAATTACCCGCACATCAGCAGGGGGTAGAACAAGAATCGGCCTAAAATGCACAAACATGCTTCAGACTAACCGATGAAACTCAAAATCTATATATTATAAAATCTATTTTTTTATTTGTAGTATTCCCACCTTCCTTCTCGATCTGTGCTAGACTTGGTTCTCCTAAGCATGATAGGTTTTAAGATAGACTGCACTAGCTTTAGCCCTCTCTCATCGCCCTCTTCAAATGGCTTTTGGACAAGTTTATTCCACCTAAGAATAAATATGTTCCAAACTAGCAAGCTTCAGTCATTCCATACCAAATGTAATGTATTTCCAAACAAAGATAGATAAGGACCCTTACCATGCCCAAGTTCCCCATGGTTCAATCCTCAAAAACCGTAGAAGGCTGTACAAATCCTCCAAATTGTTCTGTTAAGAAGATAACATGTTAAATGATCACAAAGTCTCAAATATGATGACCAAATCATCATCCAACAACATTCATTTGAATGAGCCAAGATATCATGCCAGCAGATGGATACCAATACTGCAAGTCATATGAAATACATCTTCAAAATCAAGTTTGTGACATAGAGTCCAGACATGCGTACAAAAAACTTGCTCAAGAAGTTGATATCCTACTAGCAGAGATTTAGACCATTCCAGACTCAGGTGAATGTTAAATGCGCAACTACTAAAATTATTTCACAGAACAGAATGACAGGGCCATAGCCCATAGGACGGTCAAGGACGAAGATTTTCTTTCTAAACCTTCGACAAAAAAGATCAATCACCTGAATAGGAGTACCCGTAAGACACCAACGCCGGTCAGCAACCAGAGCTGCAGCAGCCACGGATATTTGGCTTTTTGAGTTTTTAATGATATGTGCCTCGTCAAGAACAATCCTAAACCATCGAACTGCATAAAGTCCTTCACTGTCTGCTGAGTTCTAAGAAGAAGAGGAAAAAACAGAGAAGATAATAAATATCTCTTGCGAAGACATACGAATTTTATATGAAAGATATACCTCTGCTGAAAATTCGGATGTTAGAACCCCATATGTAGTGATGACAACATCACTTTGGGACAAAAGTTTTGCATCCTTTGGCCTGCTTTGGCCATAATGAACATAGACAGACAGAGATCCAGGCTTTGCATGCATTTCAATCTCTGACTGATCATAAAGTAAGAACAAAAAAATATCAGCTGAGGCAAGGAAAGACAAAAAAAAAAAACTTTATTAAGCATGAAATGAATTATTAGCATACAGCGTATATAATACCTTCCACTGGCCTAAAAGTGTCATCGGACAAACAATCAGGTTACCACCATTTTCAAGTGCACTTTTATGCTCAAGAAGCTTCTTATCAAAACCTGGAAATTTGGTTGCCTTCACTGAAGGACCACCGGACTCATCTAAAACACTGCTGATCCCTTTCTCTCCTTCATAATTAGGGGATAGAAACCCAGTTGATGCAGCTTTCCAAGAATGGGCAAGCATAAGGGATATGGTCATTACGGTCTTTCCGAGACCCATTGCGTCTGCTAGAATCTGCAAAAGTGTTTTGATATAATCATATTATAAAACAGCTATCAAACAAAGTGACAAATCCAGATGATAAATCAAACGATCATTGGGCTATTGAGGTCATACTCCTCCTCTTGCCATTTGAAGTGTGCTGGGAAAGTGTATAGTAGCATCACCAGTAAAAGAATTCAGGTAGACAACAAGTTCCCTCCTGTTGACATAAAACAGATAGTAAATATCTCATCTGACTTGCACTAAAGTTGGGCACGCAATAGAAACATGACTCACTTGTCTGCTAAATTGTATGCTTCCCAACACGGGTGAAGCATTGTTGCTGCCTCATCAGTGCAATTTCCTTTCTCCAGTTGGGTCATCCAATGGAGTGCCTGCTTCTGATACGGACGAAGCTCACACTGAAGTTTATGTGGAGTTTCCATTTCCTGTTGCAAAATTTCTCATGTATTTAGCCAAATAATTTTTGAAATGTCCGAACATAAGTATGCAAACAGTCTTGGAAGTGAGAATACCTTTAATCCAGAACTGTCCCCAACACCAACTATGTTATCAAGATCACCATCGCTGATGCACTGCTCATTTTCATCTCCGTTTGCGTCTTGATTTAGATTCTTGACCTTGTTTAACTGAAGCAACGAAGTACGAACAGCGGAGCCATCCTATTTCCAAAGAAGCAGACAACAAATGACAAACTTGACAAGCAAGAAGTTAAAGTTTATGATGCTCTGATATAATAAGCAGTTTTTACCGTAGAACTCAAAGGTCGCTTCCTAGTGGACAAATCCTCAGGAGTGAACTCTGCCTACATATGATGAAGAAACAAAGAAACATTTTCACATATAACTACCCCACTAAAATAAAATTAGTGAACAGAAATATTTCTTTGCCATCTCAGAAAACACTAGCAGTCACATCATATAGGTAACTGCAAATTGCAACCAGTCATCAAATCAAACTGTTATAGACAAGGAAAAACCCATTACCTTCTTAAATGGGATCAAACCAAGCAACCGGAAGAGATTTGGGAGAGGATGGAACATTGATTCTTCTGCCGTATTAGTGGCTGCCTTGAGTGAAGTCGCACTATGCTTTTGAAACATGGAACTATTAATGTATACGCTGTTTCAAATACAAACACAAAACACTTAAGATACTAATGCATATAACTTGGAATCATCAATCTAAATACAAATAGTGTGAATGCATACCTTACTGAAAGAATAATTGAGTCCATGATGCCCAGTGCTTGAGGCGCCGACTTGCATCTCCCTTCTATCCTAATTTTCTTGTCTAACACAAGCGGTAGAAGACACCGAGCCCACTCATTTGGTATTCTACCAATCTGCAACAAGACCCCATCACAAACATGAAAACTTAACATACTGAAACCGCAAGCAAATGCTTCTGTAAGAGAAAAAAAAGCATGATTTTGGAACGCACCTCTCCAGAATCCTTTGTAGAGAACCTGACGATATCAGAAGCACCACGCGAAGCTGGCCTTCCCCGTCCGAGGCGCTTCCCGGGGGTAGACTCAGAGTTCGATTTCTTACTCTGCGGAAACGTGAACACGAGTTCGTCACCGGACTTCAATTTCCTTCCTTTACATGTCGACAACCCCGAAAGTTCCGAACTGCCCACAAACCACCACTCGTTCCCTGAAACACTCTCTTCCCCACCGTTAACACTCTCATCTTCCTCCACGCGAGGACTCGCTCCAACACTTGCGCCGTCGCTGAAACGACAGCCCTGTATGCCGTCCTCGAGTCTCTTCCCTACATTAGAGCCGCTCGGGCTAGGAGCGGTGGCTAGATCGGGTTTGCTGAAACTTGGAGTGTCGAAGATTATATTGATTGCTGCTGTGGGGTTAAGTTTCGCCATGTGCAGAGCCCTGATTATGTCCATGTCTGAGTAATCGGATCCCACGACTGATCGGACGGTGGAGAGCAGATCGTCTGAAACTTTCGTGCCCATTTCAAAACCCTAACCCTCAATTTTTCCGAGAACCCTTGGAATTAGAGAAATTTTCAGACAGATTGTGGCTAAAGACGCCGAAGCAAGAAACCCATATTAAAAGCGATTAGAAAGGGCAAAAAAGGAGGCAAATTGACGACGGCGGACGAAATCAACTGGACCCGAGAAACGCGCGTAAATTAGCGCGACGGGTCGCTGTCAATATTATAATTCCCGCCATAATGTTATTTTTATTTTTATTTTAAGTGAAAACAATAAAAAGGAGAATACGAAACGACGACGCTTGTAAACATCCAACGGGTTCGATCCGGGTAACCCGATTCCCGAGTTGAACTCGTTTCACAATAGGCCACAAAATCTGCCATTGAGCCATTAACTCAGAAGTGACAAAGTGCAGTGGAGCCATTCGTCTCTCATCTCGAAGTTTCAAAGTGGAATCAAGGTTTCAGATTTATCGGCGGGGAGCGCTTTTATTATTGGATCAACGGTTCTAATTTCTTTTTGCTTCGGCTTCGATTTGCAAAAGTTTCGTTGGATCTTAGATTTTGATGTGATTACGCGTTCTATGGTTCGATTTTCTGGCAAAGGAGTGATATTCGTGGAATCATAGGGCTTGCTCGGAAAGGGATTGAGGTTAATTTAGATCTGAGGATCGATGGAAGGAAAGGTGGCTAGACCTAGAGGTAGACCAAGGAAACGCCCGAGACCAGAGGATCAGAATGGGGCCTCTAGCCGAGGGAAGAGGCCGGTTCTGGAGATGAAACCGACGGTGCCGAGATCCCTACTCGGTCGTTACGTTTTGAAAGATTTCGATGACAGTAGAGTTTTCCTCGGGAAGATAGTTTCGTACGATTCTGGGTTGTACAGAGTTGAATACGAGGATGGTGATTTTGAGGATCTGAAAACTTGTTATCTTCGCCAGTTTATTATTGGGGATAGTTACTTCGATGATGATTTGCGTGCTAGAAGAAATAAGCTAGACGGATTTTTACTCAAGGAGGAGGAAAAGAAGAAAACAGATAGCCTGAAGAAGAAAGGTGTTGAGCTGCGAAATCAAGTTAATGGAGTTGAGGTGCCCACATGTAGTAGTAGCCCGGGTTCTGTAGCAGAAGGTGATTCATCTTGTGGTTTACCTGAGTGCGAAGATAACATAGATCCAGATATGGAAACTATGTCTCCTTTGGTTTCAGTACCACCGGTGGATTTGCCTTCTTCATCAGGAACAATTGGTATCCCGGAAGAGGCTGTGGTGCATCTGTTATCTGTATACGGGTTCTTGAGATCATTCAGTGTTCAGCTATATATCTGCCCATTTGGATTGGATGATTTTGTGGGAGCGTTGAATTTCTTAGGACCGAATTCTTTGCTGGATGCCGTTCATGTTGCCTTGATGCGGGCACTGAAAGGTCATCTTGAGAGACTCTCCTCAGAAGAGTCTGAAGTAGCTTCAAACTGCTTGAGGTAAGCTCATACAACTTTTGTTGTGTATCAACAGATGTCTTTCTTAAATTGTTTTCTTTGTAACTTTCTGAGTTTCTTTTCAGTTTACAACTTTTGTTTGTTTTCTTTTTCTTTTTCTTCTTACTTATGTGTGCATGCACGCAACAAACCTTTTATAACAGCTTAAAGGAAATTGCCAATGGCTGTAGAAGGACTGCAAAATGAGCCTCTTATTCATAGTTTAGGTGGAGATTGTTTTAGGATGTCCCATATCTTAGTTGATAACAATTCGGAGATTTTCTTGCATTGTTATCCGCAGGTGCATTGATTGGAGCTTGCTCGATGTGCTAACTTGGCCAGTTTATTTGGTTCAGTACTTTTCTGCCATGGGACATGCAAGTGGGCCTCAATGGAGAGTTTTCTTTGAATTTGTTGTGGAGAAAGAGTATTATTCCTTACCCGTAGTGATGAAGTTGAAGATCCTGCAAATTCTGTGTGATGATGCCTTTGATGTAGTAGATCTAAGAACTGAAATCGATACTCGAGAAGAGTCTGAATTTGGATATGATCCTGATGGAGTTACTGCTGATCTTCCTGAAAATGGACCTAGAAGGGTCCACCCCAGATTTGCTAAAACCTCAGCTCGCAAGGAGAAAGAGCTTAGTGAATTTGTTGCAGTGAACCATGGAATAAGCTCAATGAACGAGTCAAAAACTTTGAGTTCAAGATGTACTGATGGTGGTCCTAATGGACATAGCTCAGATCTGGATGAAAATAGTGATGAATGTAGGCTCTGCGGCATGGATGGAACGTTGCTGTGTTGTGATGGATGCCCTTTAGCATATCACTCAAGATGCATTGGTGTGGTTAAAATGTATATACCAGACGGGCCGTGGTATTGTCCAGAATGCACTATCAACAAAATGGGGCCAACGATTGCTCAAAAAACGTCACTTAGAGGAGCAGTGTATTTTGGAGTGGATCCACACGGGCGACTCTTCATGGGTTCATGCAACCACTTACTGGTGTATGTTTTCGTCGCCTTATCTCAGCTACTTTTTCTTTTAAATTTATGAAAGTAGAGCTGATCTTTCAATCCTATATATATGAACACTGAACAAGCTTAAGAACCCGTATCGTTTCAGATATGCAACCAAGATAGTTTTTTTGTTTCAAATTTAGATTCTTGTGGAAAGTTAATTTGTAGTTTATACTCAACAACTTGCCTAGATTTTGCCTAAAGTTGGAAACCCATATCGCTTTAATTATTTTGTTGTGGACGCTAATGAATATTTCCCTAATATCGCAGGCTTAAAACTTCTATCCATGCGGATGCAGATATCAGATACTACAATGTCACTGACATTCCAAAAATTGTCTTGGTGCTTTTGTCTGCAACGACCTATAGACTAGAATATATGTATATATGCAAAGCGATCTCACAATACTGGGATCTGCCTGGAGGTGTAATCTCTTACCTGAGAGCAGTGGAGACTGATTTAGCTAACATGCAACAAGAAGGGGGCGACGAGGTGTCAGACCAGATTAAGCCTGATAGTGCAAGTAGTTCCAGTATAAATAATATTCAAAATGTGTTTGGCCTCTACGCATCAGCTTCAGGCTATGCTGGCGATTCTGTTTTAGGAAGACCAAGTGGAACGCAGGAGAAGAATTTGGTTGCTGGCATTACACACAAGGGTTTATCATTCAAACCTCACGCATACATTAATCATTACACAAACGGAGAACTGGCTGCATCAGCTGGTGCTACTTTGGCTGTCCTATTGGCAGAGGAAAACCATGAACCTGATGTACACAAGTTTAGTAATGCCAAGAAAGCTGCCTCGAGTAACATCCTGCTACAGGTGAAAGCATTTTCGTTAGTAGCCTCGAGTTTCTTCTGGCCAAGTCCTGATAAGAAGGAAATTACAAGGGAAAGGTGTGGTTGGTGTCATTCTTGCAAACTTACATCAGCAAGTAGGAGAGGATGCATGTTAAATGCTGCTGTAACTGGGGCCACCAAAAGTGCTGTGAAAATCTTCAGTGGCCTTTTTCCTCTGAAGAACGGGGAGGGAGTACTTTCTAGTATTGCAGCATATATCCTATATATCGAGGAAAGCTTACGTGGTCTCCTTGCGGGGCCATTTCTCAGTGAGAGTCTTAGGAAACAGTGGCGTAAGAAGCTAGAAGAAGCCTCAACATGCAAAGCGATAAAATCCCTCCTGCTTGAAGTAAGTAAATCTTTTTTTCTTTCTAAAACATTTCTGTTCTTACTAAAAACTGGTTTTACTTTTGCTTCTCATTTGCGCTGTTCTGATTTGATATTGCCAACAATATAGTGAGTAGTCTAGGTTTGTCTTTATCTTTATTGGCATGATATGGTTTATTTTGCTTGTTTGCAGCTTGAGGAAAACATTTGCAGTATTGCTCTGTCAAGCGAATGGCTTAAACTAATGGATGATTGGTTGATAGAACATTCTATTTTTCAAAGCGCTCGTATTACTGTTGGGGCCACACAGAAACGTGGACCTGGTAAGAGGAGGCAGAGGAACCAGGCTGAAGTTACAGCCGAAGGTTCTAATGATGATAGCTTTACTTGGTGGCGAGGGGGGAAGTTATCAAAAGTTATACTCCTGAAGGCAGTTTTGTTGAAGCCAAAGATAAGGAAAGCAGCTTGGCAAGGTAACCTTGTTCGGATATGTTATCTGTGCTTGAGGTTTTAGTAATTCTCACGTAAACAAAGGGTGGTTTTTCGGAGTAATGTTTTTGAGATACATCTACAAGAGATATCCTATTTGATTTTATTCTCGGGATGATGCTAATGTGGTTTGTTTTTCATTAGGTGGTCTGAAAAAGTTTCCTGAATTTAATTATGGTGATGGTTCTTACATTCCTAAAAGAAGCAGGCGGTCTGTTTGGAAAGCTGCAGTTGAAAGTAGCAAAAACATTTCTCAGCTTGCTCTTCAGGTTTGTCTTCTATCATCAGTGATTTGTTTCAAATGATTGAGCTTCTATGTTTGTTTGCTGTTCCCCTGAAAATTCAACTAAATCTGGGCCAGGTTAGATACTTGGATATGAATATTAGATGGAGTGAGCTTGTACGCCCAGAGCAAAACGTGCAAGATGCAAAAGGTACAGAGACAGAAGCCACTGTATTTAGGAATGCTAGTATTTGTGACAAGAAGATTATAGATAACAAGGTTAGATATGGAGTTGCCTTTGGAAATCAAAAGCATCTTCCATCTCGTGTCATGAAGAATGTTATCGAAGTCGAGAAAACCGAAGATGGAAACGACAAGTTTTGGTTTCATGAAGCACGTGTTCCCTTATATTTGACTAAAGAATATGAAGAAAGTTTGCATAGGGTCCATGTGCCTTTTATCAAGAAGGAATCAAAAAGAATATCAAAGCTCCAGAAAAAGCAACTGAAAGCTTCTCGAGCAGACATATTTTCTTATCTGGCCTCTAGGAGGGACAACACGGAGAAGTGTTCTTGTGCGTCATGCCATCTTGATGTTTTATTGAGGTATATTCTTTCGCTTTCTTCACCTTTCGGGATACTAAAATAAAACTTGTGCAGCTCATTAACTTGTGTTCCCGTTCTCTGCATGTCTATAGGGAGGCAACAACATGCAGTGCTTGCCAAGGTACACTACGCCTGCTTGCTGGTTTAATTTTTTCATTTTTCGGTTGGAGACTTTTTGCAAGTTATTGGTATCTGAATGCATTTGACAACATGTTAATCTTGCTTTTGTCTTTCTTTTTGCCTCTCAGGTTTCTGTCACAAGGAATGTAGTACGAGTACGCAACACACACCTGGGAAGGTTGAAATTCTGGTAACCTGCAAACGGTGCTACCTTGCAAGAACTCGTTCACTAATCAATCTCAGTCACAGACATCCAACAACACCCACTGTCCTGATCAATGGACAACATCAAAACGCAGTCACTCCAGTCATTAAGACACAGATTAAGCCTCTTATTCAACAGGTACCATCTTCCAACCCACGCGACAACGCTTCTGGAGTTAGACAAATTACTCCCGATTCTAATATGGCTCCCAAGAGTAAACATAAGACATTGTCTTGGGGGGTCATATGGAGGAAGAAGAACTTGGAAGACACAGGTGTTAGCTTCAGAAATCAAAATGTTCTGTTGGCTGGACGATCTGGTCAGCCGAATCCGGAACCAGTTTGCTGGCTCTGTAAACTGCCGTATAATCCTGGTCTAACATATATTCACTGTACAAATTGTGACAGTAAGAATAACTAAACTCTATACCGAAGCGTAGATTTCCTCAATGCTGCAATTTTGTTCTTTATAAATCTAATCCTATCATCTATATGCAGAGTGGTACCACATTGAAGCGATTAAGCTCGAGGAGTCAAAAATTCCTGAAGTTGCTGGGTTCAAGTGTTGCAAATGCCGTCGTATACGATCACCAGATTGCCCTTACATGGATCCCAAACTCAGAGAACAGAAACAGATGAAAAATGTATTCTTCAAGCGCCAGAAACCTGGGCAAGGAAATAGCGGATTGGATTCTGATTCTGAAAGAATGTCTGAACCAAAAGACTCGATACCCTCTACTCCCTCGTTTCCCCTCGAAGATGCGTTTGCTCCAGAGGATGATCCTCTCTTGGTGTCAGTTTCGAAAATCGAACAAACGACACCAAACAATTTGGATGTCGGGTGGAACGGTGATGGTTCTGTGTCGGGACCCCAGAAGCTACCAGTTAGGAGACAAGTGAAACGTGAAGACACAGAAGGGAACAACAATCTTTCTTTTGCCGAGTTTCCAACGCTTGTGAAACAAGAAATGGAGCCAACATTGCCTGTCATGGGATGGGATGCATCTGACAACAACAACAACAGCAGCAACAACATAGTTGAAGGCGAGCTAATGTTTGACTACGAAGACATGGAATTCGAGCCGCAAACCTATTTCTCGCTGAACGAGTTGCTTACAACTGATGATAGTGGCCAGTGCAATGGATATGGCTACGACAAGGATGTTTCAGGAAACACGGATAACCCAAACCCTCAGGTGGAGACAGAGGAACAGTGCAGAGGATTTCTCTACGACAATACAATTCCATGTCAGATATGTATGCATGTGGAGCCAGGGCCTGATCTCACATGCCAGACTTGTAATATGATAATACATTCTCACTGTTCTCCATGGGAGGAGGATTCTACTTGCACCGGAGGCAGCTGGAGATGCGGTCGTTGCCGTGAGTGGATGTAGCTTGCGGATTTTCTCATCTCTTTTGTTCAGTTACCACCTAAATTCTTTTTGTATTTGTTTTCTTTTCATTTCTAGCCTCATCTGCTGCTGCTTTTAGTGGTTTTTGATGAATACAAAGATTAATTCATAGTAGAAATTCTAATTGCAATGGCAGGTGATAAGCTCTTACTTTTTATTGTTTGTTGCCTCTCCCTCTTATGCTGCAAAAGAACATCGTTTTACTTGGGATTCAGACGAGATTATGAAGATTGAGAGTTGTTTGTTAAACCCAGTGGCTATTGGTCGATACGAAGACACAAATATGATCAAGAGAATACAAATGTGCAGAGTGATTTGCAAAATTTCGTAGCTAACTTTCGCCCGCTTTGGATACATGCACAAATATGATCAAAACTACCTTTTTCTCTATTAAAACCTTCTCTCCTCGCTCGGTCCTACATTTACTCTCTCGCATCATTTCCATATTTTCACCATTACACTCTACAATAACGAAGAATAATTTTCTCCACATTTGCAAGTACTCTCTTCCCCGATGAACTTATTATAGTAAACCAGCAAGCATAGCTCCCGGATCATCAGCTAGAGCCGCTGGGCTAGGCGGTTGAGCTACAGGTGGTGGTGGTGGTGGTGCTGCTGCTCCTGTTGCTGGAACTAGAGCTCGAGATCCCGTTGGAATAGTAATTAGATGTTCCTTAATAAATTCTTTCAACCTGTAGTAGATCAAAGAGGTCAACAAATGCGAGTATATAAAAAGAAAAAGAGCTGTATTTAAGGTTGATTATATTCTAAGAGGCAGAGAGATATCATACTCAAATGTGAGGGTAGGATCTCCGGATCCTACTGTCATTCGCAGTTGGGTTCTGTCTGCTGGGTCTGTTTCAATTCTTGCCTGAAAATCATAATTACACGGACAATGTCACACAACAGAGTTCTTCTGAGAACACAGTATCACTTCTGTTCGATAAGTAAAAGAAATCAAGGAATTGGAAGAGTGGCAAGTGCCAAAACCGCTGAGAGAAACTTGGTTGAGATCTCACCAAACAGAGCATGGCTCCTGTACTTTCAGAGTAGAAGGTTGTGCTTGCCACTAGGTTATTAGGGTTTGGATCCTACAACAGAGACCCGTAGTAGTTAAGTTATAGTATACATTTGTGCAACGAGTATTAGGAATGAGAGACTGAGATAGTAAGCATATACTTACAAGTCCAGGGCATATAGTCACCCGGAAACTGTTGAACAGATTCGCCATTTCCGGAAGAGCTAGAGGTCTAACACCTCTTATCTGCAAGAAAAAATGCAGATTCAGATTATGATGACCAGTGGGACACACATTAAAAGGAAAAGTATCAGGAGCATTTAAATTCTTCCATGCACTACTCATATGCTTTTATTTGATATTTGGTCAGAGAAACTGTGGAAATACATACAACTTCCTGAAGTTTCAAGGGTGGCCCTGAAAGTGCTCTCCATTGCGGGAAGAACTCCTCAGATGTCAGTTGAAGAGGTTGAAGAAACTTATTCAAGACTGCTGGGATGCGTAATTTGGCACTAACCTATAAAATATCCAGCATGCCAGGTAGAGTCACACACATACTAAATAAACCATTCACCAAAACAAAGTAAGGTTGCAGTAAGTACCACGTTTGTACCAAACTTGTAGGAGAAATCCAGAACCGCAACATCCCTACTAGGGCGGATGTTCATCACTTCAAGTGGAGATTGTACCTATAACCAACGGCAGAGATCGAATCACAAAGTAAACAATAAGGATGCGGAAAAGAGGAGGAATCGACAGGCTGAGTCATGGGATTGAAAAGTTAAACAGAGAAAAGTACCTGTGCTCGAGGAGGAATTGTATCAGGTACTGGAGACAGTTCCAATTTTAAATGAGCAGGGGGTAGTATTAGAGCTTGGACTGATGTAAGTGGAGATGTACTCTTGTTTCCCAAGAAGAGGACAAGTCTCCCATGGTGTCCTCTCCATTCAGCTTTGAGGCCGATCTGTGGAATACGAACAATCAACAAAATGAAGAACATAAGAATTAGAAACGCTTAACCTTTGCAATCATTATTCTGGGTTTGTAAGGATTATTAGCCACACCGGCCTAAGAAGCTCAGTAAGCAGGAGGCCTGCCTGCAGCCTGCATACCAGAATAGATAAAAGTGGAGAGAAAAGAACTAAATAAAAATAAAATCAAACCTGGATATAAGGATCCTCGTATAAGACACCACTATCTTTCAAACATAAAGCATGAAATCTCTCAGCGATATTTCCGATCACCTGTTAAAGAAAGTAAATGTGAATTTGAGCTAGAAAGTTGCATACATGCCAAAGAACGCAAAGGAAGAAGAAAACAATACCTCAACTGTATTTGTTTGCTCGTCAAGTGGTACAATGGCAGAACCATCAGCTTCATCTGGAGCTCCTTCTGCCCCTATGGGGCCATGTTGTTCAGTTGAGACAGTTCCAGGTGGAGCCTCTATAGCAAGAGGACCGAGCAGGTCGCTTAGGAGATCGGCTGATGGAGTTTGTGGATCTATACTACTTAGAGATCCATTGGGCTGAGAGAGAGATCGGTCCTGCTAGAGAGAAAACCGAATTTCAAAGATAATAAGATAGTAAGGCACACACGAAAATGTCTCGGCAATTGGAACCTTCAAAGGCTGACAAAGAGAGTACTCACCGTGACAGTTGGAACCTTCAAAGGCGGGGGTGCCCCAGTAACAGGCTGTGGGTCAGTCAAAACCAAAGCATTTGAAGGCTGTTGTTGTGCTCTAAGCTTGATGGCACTCTGGTCTGCGGTATCCTCAACATCTTCTGCCTTTTTTATCAGTGAAGACTATGGAAGAGACAAAAACAGAATGATTCAGCAACCAAACGTCCCATCAAAGTAACTTTCATGAAATCATACAATAAAATATCTTATAAACCTGGCGCTCCGGAAATTTTGGCATCTCAGCCAATACATCCATAAAGGCATCCCCTTTTTTACTCAGTTCAAAATATTCAACAGCCCTCTGTTGTATCTCCACATCGATAGAACTCTCATACCTGCCAAAACGAAACTTTTTAAAAAACTTGATTTGATTCTCAAAAAAGTATAACATAAAATGACAAGCAAAACATTGAGAATGATGATAAGGTTAGCAATTCTCACTTCCTGAATACAGCCCAGACTTTTTTTTGCAGTTCTGGATCCGGGGGTTGAGCATGCATAAGAAGCTTTGCATAAGAGGAAAGAAGAATAGGAATGGTGGGAGTCCTGAGAAGGAAAAAAAAAAAGACAAAAATAAGTATTTAGGACATACACAAAGACAAGAACAATGCAGGATTTGTGTTATCATTACGTTACAGTGGGAAGCTTCTCATGTAAGATGCTAAAGAGTTCGTTTGCACTGCATCCAGGTTGTCTCGCTAGAAGGTGGCCATACTCCCCCAATATATAAGCACTGACCTGAAAAATTAGAAAGAACTATAATTTATTGTTGATACCAATAATTTTCTACAATATAGATTGTGTCAGAATGGATGTACAACCTTCACCATTGTCTCATGTATTGCGATCTTGTCCAAGTATTCTCTTGCTTTTGATGCAGCATAAGGCTGTCATATTAAAGAAACTTGTGAGAACCTTCAGAATGTCCTGAATAGAAAATACAACAGATTTATTCTACAAATTTGAAATACCTGAAGATCTTCATTATTTGTTACGAACTGAACCACACGAAACCAAATGTCATCGCTAACAAAATCCCCCGCCTTATCGATCAACTGAAGGATCACATCTACATACCTTAGAAACATCAAAAACGAACATTTAGGGTAGTGTAAGATTGAGCAAATGCTTGTGTAAGCAGGGATCTAAATGTCACACCAAATGGCTAGCCCATGTCATCAAACTCATAATTGTGTGCATTGAACAAGTGTATATATCTTTTCGTGTAGTAGAAGTTATCCTTACCATGAAAGATCAGGAGCAAACTTCTCAGCAAGAATGGCAGCTTTAAGTGATAACTCTTCTCGCATGGAAAACTCTGCTGTGCTAAGATACTGCAATGTATTATTCGATTCAAATCAGCTTAACACTACACAGCTAAATTCTTCCTTTCTGTTTAACATCAGACTTATAAACAAGAATTTATCAATATGAAGCAAGGCCAACAAGATCTACCTGCAACAACTCTTCGACTATATCCTTTGCATTTGACACATCGCACATCCCATAAAGCAAATCAAGAGCACGTCTACGAATACTGCAGTAAGTTCAAACACTAAGTGAATCTTTGTTATGTACTGACCCACCAGCCAAGAATTGCTACCACAAGTAAATATACCAATAATTGTTTCCCACAAGAGAACAAATCAAGGAAACATGTCGTCGCTAAATACACATTGCAGAGAAGCAGAATTCCATTAGATTTAGAGTTTGATGTATGCAATTTAAATCGTGTTATTTTAATACTGACTGAAATGCTTTCAAATTCACGACTACTTTAGAAAAAAGTAAACTATAGTATATTGACCCATAAATATTATGACCGGTTCACAAGCTGATACTAATACGGTCAAAAATATACCAACCTGATGTCAGGGTCTTTCAAGGAGGTGATTATCTGAGACTGATGCTTCTTTATGATATCTTGGACATCGGTGACCATCAGCATTCGTGTCATATTCTCCTGCAATAATGTCAAGATCATGAGAGGCCACTAACAAATGAGTACCCGACAACCCAATCACATAGGCTTCGAAATAGGAAGTGGGTTTCATGATCTCACCAAGCCTAGATATCTGATGTTGGGCTCACGGACAGAAATAAACTTTCCAAGAAGAGCAACACACTGCGACATCATTTCCTTCTCAGCATCAAGATGCATGACCTATACCGAAAAACATCAACGAGTTAGGAAGTTTCTCACTAAACCAAAGAATTGTTGAGCACATTCAAATCAGCTATCCATGATAAAACTCTTAGAAATAACAATGAAACCTTCAGGCGCAATATATGATATTATTTACTTCCAAAGAAGAAAAAGAACAGAAAGGAACATACAAAACAGCATGCAATCGACTCAAACATCAAAACCGAAATTTTTATTTTAAAACGTTCATTGTTCTGTCCTGATCAACAGTGTTTTTGTGGGAGGCGTGAAGGTAGGGGGGAGATGGAGAGATGCATCAGTAAATTTCAAGACATAAACTTACCAGGGATAGGGCTTCAAACAGCACAGCGTGAGACGCATTGTTCTTATTCACGTTTTTTACAACATCTGTCCCCATTAATATCCGCTGAAGTACCTGAAATTCGCATGAATGCCATGAGAGAGAATTCGAAGACATATGTTAGGGACTTCCTTGAGAAAAAAATGAACCTCGAAGAGTGATTTTCTGGTACTGGGATCTTCAATGGTTGGAAAATACTGAAGAGCCCTCATCGCCTTAACCTGTGCTAACCACAGAATTATAAGTATCCAAAATACCTTAACTTAGCCGCAAAAATATACCCATGGTATCCATTATCATGAGCTAATTTCACATGGAATTGTATGAAGACACGGTATTATGTGGACAATAAAAAGTTCAAGCTATGTTGAACAAGAGTGAATATGACGAGTTAAGCCAAACCTGGAGCCAAGGAGATGGGATGCCATAGTATGTGTACTCCTGAGGCACGTCCTGGTTCCTAGCAAGGCGCTCCAATATTTTGACACATTTAGGTAGACAACTTGAATACGCCTCATGATTATTTGATACGAGAGCTACAAGAAGACTTGTAGAGGATGTCAAGACGCCAAGATCCCGTTCATCCAGAAGTTGAGCCATACGATCCGCCCTGAAAGCATACCAAAATCAGAATTTATGGAAGATGTACAAGTAAAATCAAACAACCAGTCACCCATAGTATTAATACACACCACCCATCAACGTTGATGGCATCAGGATTTTTCCTGAATAAGCGCAGTAGACACAGTGCCGCTTTTTTCCTTACGAGCGGTCTGCAACTGCTAGAAATCTACAGCAAACAAGTCCCATGGCATTAATATGTTTACTTAAATGGATAAATACCCATAGCATGTCATCTTGAGGGTCACTTACAAGCAGCTTTTGAACATCAGGTGCCAATGATTCAGCAAAATCTCTCCCACCAATATTTCCAACCTACAGGATAAACCAAACATGGCAAGTTAAGAGAGCCAGAAGAAAAAACAAGCACCGGTTTTAGTGACGTTAAAGGCTCTGAATCCTGAGTTAGTAGAGCAAAAAGACATAATGCCGCCGAAAACTTTATCAAAACAGTCACCTAAGTGCATCCCATAATCAGAAAGAATTCAACACAACTATGGACAAAAGAGCACATACCAACGTCAATGCCAGGCACTGGAAAGTCTCATTCCGACCAATTATATCGTTCCGCACTGTATTAATTGCCAACCTCAAAAAATCATGGTTCTCGTTGAGCAAGCAGGATGTAACGATGTAGCCAACCTGAAAAGTTTCGATACATGCAACTTAGGTAAGGAATATACAAAATATAAAATTGGTAATGCAAACCCTCGGGAGACAACGCATTGTATAATTTGTATATCTTGGTTAAGAGTTGCTAAGGTGTTGTAACTAAATACCTAGTTAATGTCTAATTACATAACGAGATCCTATCAAACTGAATAGTATTCCAAGCGCGGGAAATAGTATGTAGATCTTGCTTTCTATGATCTTCATTTCACTTTGTTCCAGCTTAATCCCTAGACTTGACTCAAACAAATACCCCCACCTATTTTTCTCATCCTAACCTTTAGAAAGCAATATTTATTTGCTTGAGCCAATAAAACTTTGGCTTACCTGCTTTTCTGGATACTTTGGAGCAGATATAAGAGAAACCGCCTCCATATGGCCAAAATCCACATCGTAACCTAGCATATGTATATAAAGCATTTTCCAGACATATTTCTTCTTTTTATATGGTGTCAAAACCTGTCAAACGTAAGAAAATATGGAAAAACCAATCAATGAATGCATTAATAATTCAAGCCTAACATGTCACATGAAGCTCGGAAAATATGAATTTCCGTAATGGTCAAGATGGCCACAGATGGACACTACAGGCCGGCTATAGTTCTGCTAAGCAACAGAGCTTAATCTACTTTGTAATGATCTATTCAAATCTATCTGCAACCTTGAGTTCTTTTCTTAAACTAGTACATAAACTAATTTTGCTACTTACAACAAAAGAGCGTTTCTTTCATTCTAGTTCCTTCTTAATATCTTCAGACATTCAATGTTCTTATTTATCTTGATTGATCACAAGGAAAAAAAATTCTCTTCTCTCCCATCTATCGACTTGATATACCATTATGACCTTCCATGAGCTAGCAATACAACGCAAACATTACAATGCCTATCAGTCTGCAAAATTTGTGAGAGAAACTATCAACTCGGCAACTCCATTATCAACTATTTCAACTACATTCTTCTCTAACACCATTATCAAGCAAATTTGCTCTGCAAAGGAGAAGTCTCAACTATCTCTAATCAGTTTGCATTGGATTGCATTGGAATTGAGCTTAAATGTTAAACAATCTCGTTGGAATATGTAGCTCTGCAAAGATGAAATCTCAACTATCTCTAATCAATGCGTGTACGGATGAAAAGAGAAGCCGCTAACCTTCTCATTTTTGAAGCATGTACGGATGTTTCCGAGCTCCTTATCAACTCGGAGTCGCTCCGCCTCCTTGTTCTGGCAATTACGTACGTCACTGATGAAGACGGAGAGCCCTCTCATTCCGGTCATGGTGGAACCGATTCCTCAGATCCACCGTCCGTCGCCGCCTCGCACGGGGAGATTTAACTCGCGAAACCGGATCTAACAACCACGGAAACAGCAAAATAGAGCTGAAGCATAAAAAATTCGCGGGAGCAGAGATCGAAACCCTAATATATATACGGAAAATGGCACATCCAAATGAAGAAAATTCAAAAAAGGAGAGTGATCTGCAGAAGGTGGACGAGAAGAGAGAGAGAAGCCTGCCGGGAGCGCGACGGAAGACGACTTTTATTTTCTTTATTTACAACTGTCACTACTCAATATTGTATAATTCCGTTTTTGTCTGTTTTGTTACAATTTTTTAACAAAAGACCCAAATTATTTAATTTACTTCAATTTATACAGTATATTTATTAAAGCTTGTGGAGTTTGGAAAATCCTAAATATACTCATTTACTTATTTTCTTGTAAAAGAAATCACAATTTATTTTGTCTAGTCAATTTGGACTAAAATGGAGAAATCATAAGTTGCAGACTACTTTGTCACCAAATTGTCCCTTTCAACCTTTTTTGGGCATTTCATCAGCTTTATTTGTCCCAACTTCAGTGAAACCTTTTTTGGCATATCTGAATGGCAAAAGTAGCATCACAAAAATAAAAGTTTGTGTTTGCGATATTCTAGCCAAATAAACAAATTGGGTTTTTGAACTTAAAAGTCTCACCTACTTCTCTAGTTCAATAGCTCGTACTTAAGACTCTTCACAAATGTCTTCATATGAGAGTAGCCACATCCACTTGCATAAATAACAATGGAGAAACAGATTGAAAACATATAGGAACAAGAATAAGCTTGGCACAACCACAGATCTCACAATACACAAATGTGCATATTGAATGCAAAATTTCGTAGCTAACTCTCGCCCGTTTCGGATACAGGCAAAAATATGATCAAAACTACCTTTTCTATTAAACCCTTCACTCCTCCTCGGCCCTACATTTACTCTCTCTCTCTCTCTTTCGTTTCATTCCATATTTTCACCATTACAATCTACATACCGAAGAATAACTTTCTCGACATTTGCAAGTTTTCTTTTCCCCGATGAACTTATTATAGTAAGCCAGCAAGCAGAGCTCCTGGATCATCGGCTAAAGCCGCTGGGCTAGGCGGTTGAGCTACAGGTGGTGCTGGTGCTGCTGTAACTAGAGCTCGAGATCCCGTTGGAATAGTAATTAGATGTTCCTTGATGAATTCTTTCAACCTGAAGTAGATAAAAGAGGTCAACAAATACTCTGTATATATACCCCCCCCCAAGAAAAGAGAGCTGTGTTTAAGGTTAGTTTCATGCTAAGAGGGCAGAGAGATATCATACTCAAATGTAAGGGTAGGATCTCCAGAGCCTACTGTCATTCGCAGTTGGGTTCTGTCTGCTGGGTCTGTTTCAATTCTTGCCTGAAAATCATAATTACACGGACAAGTTTTGAGAACACAGTATCACTTCTGTTCGATAACTAAAAGAAATCAACGAATTAGAAGAATGGCAAGTGCCAAAACCGCTGAGAGAAACTTGGTTGAGATCTCACCAAACAGAGCATGGCTCCTGTACTTTCAGAGTAGAAGGTTGTGCTTGCCACTAGGTTATTAGGGTTTGGATCCTACAACAGAGACCCGTAGTAGTTAAGTTATAGTATACATTTGTGCAACGAGTATTAGGAATGAGAGACTGAGATAGTAAGCATATACTTACAAGTCCAGGGCATATAGTCACCCGGAAACTGTTGAACAGATTCGCCATTTCCGGAAGAGCTAGAGGTCTAACACCTCTTATCTGCAAGAAAAAATGCAGATTCAGATTATGATGACCAGTGGGACACACATTAAAAGGAAAAGTATCAGGAGCATTTAAATTCTTCCATGCACTACTCATATGCTTTTATTTGATATTTGGTCAGAGAAACTGTGGAAATACATACAACTTCCTGAAGTTTCAAGGGTGGCCCTGAAAGTGCTCTCCATTGCGGGAAGAACTCCTCAGATGTCAGTTGAAGAGGTTGAAGAAACTTATTCAAGACTGCTGGGATGCGTAATTTGGCACTAACCTATAAAATATCCAGCATGCCAGGTAGAGTCACACACATACTAAATAAACCATTCACCAAAACAAAGTAAGGTTGCAGTAAGTACCACGTTTGTACCAAACTTGTAGGAGAAATCCAGAACCGCAACATCCCTACTAGGGCGGATGTTCATCACTTCAAGTGGAGATTGTACCTATAACCAACGGCAGAGATCGAATCACAAAGTAAACAATAAGGATGCGGAAAAGAGGAGGAATCGACAGGCTGAGTCATGGGATTGAAAAGTTAAACAGAGAAAAGTACCTGTGCTCGAGGAGGAATTGTATCAGGTACTGGAGACAGTTCCAATTTTAAATGAGCAGGGGGTAGTATTAGAGCTTGGACTGATGTAAGTGGAGATGTACTCTTGTTTCCCAAGAAGAGGACAAGTCTCCCATGGTGTCCTCTCCATTCAGCTTTGAGGCCGATCTGTGGAATACGAACAATCAACAAAATGAAGAACATAAGAATTAGAAACGCTTAACCTTTGCAATCATTATTCTGGGTTTGTAAGGATTATTAGCCACACCGGCCTAAGAAGCTCAGTAAGCAGGAGGCCTGCCTGCAGCCTGCATACCAGAATAGATAAAAGTGGAGAGAAAAGAACTAAATAAAAATAAAATCAAACCTGGATATAAGGATCCTCGTATAAGACACCACTATCTTTCAAACATAAAGCATGAAATCTCTCAGCGATATTTCCGATCACCTGTTAAAGAAAGTAAATGTGAATTTGAGCTAGAAAGTTGCATACATGCCAAAGAACGCAAAGGAAGAAGAAAACAATACCTCAACTGTATTTGTTTGCTCGTCAAGTGGTACAATGGCAGAACCATCAGCTTCATCTGGAGCTCCTTCTGCCCCTATGGGGCCATGTTGTTCAGTTGAGACAGTTCCAGGTGGAGCCTCTATAGCAAGAGGACCGAGCAGGTCGCTTAGGAGATCGGCTGATGGAGTTTGTGGATCTATACTACTTAGAGATCCATTGGGCTGAGAGAGAGATCGGTCCTGCTAGAGAGAAAACCGAATTTCAAAGATAATAAGATAGTAAGGCACACACGAAAATGTCTCGGCAATTGGAACCTTCAAAGGCTGACAAAGAGAGTACTCACCGTGACAGTTGGAACCTTCAAAGGCGGGGGTGCCCCAGTAACAGGCTGTGGGTCAGTCAAAACCAAAGCATTTGAAGGCTGTTGTTGTGCTCTAAGCTTGATGGCACTCTGGTCTGCGGTATCCTCAACATCTTCTGCCTTTTTTATCAGTGAAGACTATGGAAGAGACAAAAACAGAATGATTCAGCAACCAAACGTCCCATCAAAGTAACTTTCATGAAATCATACAATAAAATATCTTATAAACCTGGCGCTCCGGAAATTTTGGCATCTCAGCCAATACATCCATAAAGGCATCCCCTTTTTTACTCAGTTCAAAATATTCAACAGCCCTCTGTTGTATCTCCACATCGATAGAACTCTCATACCTGCCAAAACGAAACTTTTTAAAAAACTTGATTTGATTCTCAAAAAAGTATAACATAAAATGACAAGCAAAACATTGAGAATGATGATAAGGTTAGCAATTCTCACTTCCTGAATACAGCCCAGACTTTTTTTTGCAGTTCTGGATCCGGGGGTTGAGCATGCATAAGAAGCTTTGCATAAGAGGAAAGAAGAATAGGAATGGTGGGAGTCCTGAGAAGGAAAAAAAAAAAGACAAAAATAAGTATTTAGGACATACACAAAGACAAGAACAATGCAGGATTTGTGTTATCATTACGTTACAGTGGGAAGCTTCTCATGTAAGATGCTAAAGAGTTCGTTTGCACTGCATCCAGGTTGTCTCGCTAGAAGGTGGCCATACTCCCCCAATATATAAGCACTGACCTGAAAATTCAGAAAGAATTATAATTTATTGTTGATGCCAATAATTTTCTTCAATATAGATTGTGTCAGAATGGATGTACAACCTTCACCATTGTCTCATGTATCGCGATCTTGTCCAAGTATTCTCTTGCTTTTGATGCAGCATAAGGCTGTCATATTAAAGAAACTTGTAAGAACCTTCAGAATGTCCTGAATAGAATATACAACAGATTTATTCTAAGAAGTTAAAATACCTGAAGGTCTTCATTATTTGTTACGAACTGAACCACACGAAACCAAATGTCATCGCTAACAAAATCCCCCGCCTTATCGATCAACTGAAGGATCACATCTACATACCTTAGAAACATCAAAAACGAACATTTAGGGTACTGTAAGATTGAGCAAATGCTTGTGTAAGCAGGGATCGAAATGTCACACCAAATGGCTAGCCCATATCATCAAACTCATAATTGTGTGCATCGAACAAGTGTATATATATTTTCGTGTAGTAGAAGTTATCCTTACCATGATAGATCAGGAGCAAACTTCTCAGCAAGAATGGCAGCTTTAAGTGATAATTCTTCTCGCATGGAAAACTCTGCTGTGCTAAGATACTGCAATG